CCATTTCTGACACATTTAATGCAAGTTTAAATGTTATTGGAAACAATTTAATCAATGAAAATTTTGTATTGGTACTTCTTTTGTATTAACTCGCCATCCTTTTCCATTTCCATGCCTTAAACATATTTATATTTCACATTAGACCAGTAACTTTTAATATTGCCATTACCTGCGTTTGCAGATTTTTGTGAAAATTACATTTTTTCATGCTAGTAGATAGTAATTTATCAACCAAACTCTGACTTTTTTTACTTATAGTTCTAACTTTACTGTTATGATAGTTTGGGGGCAGGCCGCGTGTGCTGACTTCCCGCAAAATGACTTTTATCACCTTTTCGAACTTATTGTATCAGATAGTACACTCACTGTACTTGAAGTTTGTGACTCGAAGCCACCAGATACAGGACAACTTGCCAACCTTGATTGCCCGCATTTCAACTGTTTCAAGGATGCCGAAATTCTTAGCGATGCAGAGTCTCCATGCTTAGTTAGCGGACTCAATTTGCTGTCTGGTCACTGTTTGTTTTGATGAACGACCACAGCCATGTTGGAGTTCCCCGCCCGTTGCGTGTAACGCAGTGGATTAGCTTAATAGGGGGACCCTAGCCGCTACGATCTTCAAGCCCAGTTCTGTAGGAGAAGAGAAGAAGGGAGACGCCAAGTTAAAGAAATAGTGTATTCTGTACAGAGGTAGTGGAGAATAGGTATGAGGAAGTTGAAAGCCGGATGAGTGCACAGTGACGCATGAGAAGACCGGTATGCAAGGTATGCGAGCGTGGCAATCATCAGAGCATATACATAGCGGTCTTTGTTCGAGTCAGCCTTGAAGGTGATAGGTCAGATAGATTGGGCCAGCCCACAAGTGCGCATATGCTAGCAACCACGAGACGCAAGGGGTTAAGGGTCGGCGCAGTTTGTGGCACCTGTGACTGGCTGTCCCAGGCGCGGGCCGAGGCTTACAAGCACGTGTCCTCAGGTGTGGCATGGAACCGAAGGCGGAAGGCGCTATTGGGTCACTATAAGTATATTGGATGATTAGATCATTTGGCATTTGTTTATTCCTTTTTACATAACTCCTGGTATCTTCCTGTCAGAAGTTGCTGATAGCACGTTTCGCGTTTCCTATAGTGGTGACCCTTCTACGCG